GGACCTCCATCCTCCAGCCCATGGACCTCCGTCCTCCACCGCCTTCCTGCTTCCCGCTCAGGCTCCGAGCAGAGGTTTGAAGTGAGGACAGACATTGCAGACACAGCCGGAGAGCAGAATGGATGACAAAGCGACCCCGTGGCTGGTAGATGAGGTACCTGCTCCGTCCTGTCCCCAGGACATCGCTCTCCACCAGCCTCCGAGGTGCAGCCAAGCGCCGGCTCATCTCTTGGCACGGGCTGGTTGGGTCTGTCCTGGGCAGAGGTGAGGTCCAAGTGGATGCATTGCCCTGTGCTAACCGGTTCTGCGCAGAAGGGATCCGTCTCCAAAGCCTTTTATCCAAGATGAGCTTGACGGGTGGCAGAGAAGCAATGGCTTTAGGTTGCCTTCCATCCCCCGGGGCTCTGAAGAGCCACAGGTTTGCGTTGTATCATTTTCCACGGCGTGTTTCACGTCGCAATAAATTACAAACCAAACCTCAGGGAGGACTCAGAGTGGTCGTGAGGCACCGAAGGTGGAGCGTGAAGTTACACCTGGACAATGAACCTGAGGAGCAGCTCCTGCTCTGGCCAGGAAGCACCACAAGCTTCGTGCTCCTGAAGTAACCGAGCAAGGAGCAGAGCCGAGAGGATTCACCACGAGCAGAATGGGTGTGATCCAGAAAAACCACCAAAAAACCCTCTGAAATGATCAAAATCCTTCCAGGAGTGACCCAGTGACCTCCAGCGCCACAGGTACATCCCCACACATCCCGAACTTCAAGTCGTGCTGAGCAACTCCACGCCTGCTCCTGCAAAAAGGGTCTTAAACTCAGAGCAGCGCAGAACCAACCCCCTCCTGAAGAGCTAAACCCCCCTGACAGGGACTAAGGACACGCACGCCCAGGACCGAGCCCCCGGGAGACGGTTCCTGGGCTGAGGTTTGGTTTTGACCCAGCAGCTTGGCTCAGACCCGCAGATGAAGGACGGACAAGGCGCAGTGAGTTGTTGCCTTTGAGCCAACGACCAGTTTCACGACGCTGAGCTCATGTCCCATGGGCTTCACCCCGTGTTTACATGACGCAAAGACTGAAGCCATGTTCTAGAAGACCCAGGTCAAGCAGTTATGGACACTGATCTACTAAGATGCTCATAAATCCAGGTTTTTCCCCGTTTTGTGCTGCTCTCAGCAGTTACAGAGGAAGCCTGAAGAGGGGGTTGACAGGAACCAGACGGTCAGCGTGAGGCAGCGAGCGCACGCGTACCAGGAACGTGACCACTGAGGAAGCACTTGATCACATCACCAACAACACCACCTCTGAATTTCAAAAGTGGGGAGAGAGATTGAGGAGGGGCATGTTCCCAGGTGCACAAATCCATGAGGTATCTCCCCGTCACTCGGAGGAACACGCTGACAGAGCCTGGAAGCCTCAAGGTCGGATGAAGAGCAGCGTTTCCACGTCGCTGCCGTCACCGCGCCAGGGACCTCACGCACACGGACCCGCCCGCAGCTCTGCCGACAGGGACACCAGCCAGGTCAGGAGACGCAGAGCCAGAGTCCTTCACCACATCAGATCCAGCCCAGGTCAGAGCCAAGCACGGCTGTGATGGCTCCTCAGCCTCTACAGAGCAAACCCGCCAGTGCCCCCCGACCCTCCGCCAGCACAGCCGATCCTCTCCCGAAGAGGAGAAGAGTTGAGTGGGCACGAAGAACTGTGCCTAACTCCAGTGCCAGGAGATCACCAGCCCCCTGAAGAGTCCTTCACCACATCAGATCCAGCCCAGGTCAGAGCCAAGCACGGCTGTGATGGCTCCTCAGCCTCTACAGAGCAAACCCGCCAGTGCCCCCCGACCCTCCGCCAGCACAGCCGATCCTCTCCCGAAGAGGAGAAGAGTTGAGTGGGCACGAAGAACTGTGCCTAACTCCAGTGCCAGGAGATCACCAGCCCCCTGAGGCACAGCGTAAGCCTGCGTGTACTGACGCTAAGACAGGATTGCCAAAGCTGCCAATTGATTCCTCATGAAAACACAAATTCACAAGAAACCATTTTGTCCAAAGGAGAGAAAAATAAAATAAAAGAAAATAAAAAATAAAAATGGAGACAGGCTTGTGTTTCTAATCCAAAGGTACTTCTCTTTATTCAAACCAGGGGTCATCACTGGTTAGTGCAAAATGCACCTAAACCTTTTTTCTTTTTTTTTTTTGCCTGAGGGAAATCTACATCTTAACAAGGCCTCCGTTAACCCCTAATGAAATCCACAGAGGACTGCAAAGCGTTGGGAGCGCAGATCTAACCCTGCGCTTCCTAAGTGACTCTGTGCGTCAACAAGTCTGCACCTGCCTTGTTACCAGTCCTACACCAGCAGGTAACAACAGCAAAATACACTCAGTAGATTTCTTTTTAACTCCCAGAGTTTCTGAACCATCCACCCCACCGCTAATGTCAGGAGTAAGGGGGGGGGGTTTGCAGCTCACCCTCACTTCCAACAGTGCTAACGGAAACCCTGTTTTAAATTAAAAAATAAGCCAGCATACATAGTAGAAAATTTCTCTTAAAAATTTCACAATCTGTAAATGTATATATTTTTTTTTTTTTTCTTTTAAACATAAAAGTTTACAATATACGGTAAAACAAAGGCTCAGGAAAAAAATAATTTCCAAAAAAAAAAAAAAAAAAAAAGAAACAAAAAAAAAAAGAAACCTGAAGTTTTGAATTAAAGCTGAAGACATTTTTAAAACCCTGTAGTTTGAACCAGTGACATTTTCTTTATTTGTGCTGATGGGTTAGAGAAAGGAAAATATTTAAAAACTGCAGTCCAAACACCCACAGCTTTTGCCTCCAGAAGCCATCTTCCCCCACCCTCCCCTCCCAAAAAAAAAAAGAAAAAAAAAGGAAAAAAAAAAAAAAGTTGTTAGGTTTTTCTTCCATCAAGTATGTGATTGTCACAAGTTCAGAAGTCTGGGATTCCTGGGTTCAGCTGGTACCAGACATCCCTGTGTGGACAGAATTCCCTGATTGCCAGCCCACGCTAGCGCCTGTACGGGTGAAATCCTTGCACGTTATGGTTCTGTCCTCGTCCAAACCCACTTCCTCCTGCAGGTGGGCCACTTGATGGTTGCACCGAGGGGCCTCCGTAGGGAGGGGGTTGCTGGCTGGGATCAGAGAAACCTTGTCCAAAACCACTCAAGTCTTGTCCATACCCTGAGGAGAAGGGGACAAAGGCAGCAGGGTGAGCTTCCAGCGTCAGCCGCAACGCACGACAACAGAGGTGCAAATTCAGAACCTGACCCCGCTCCCTCCCGCCCTGCACGGCCTCACAGGTGAGGATAAAGCAGCTGCTTTCAGCTCCTGCCATCATCTACCTGCTGGACAGAGGAAACGGGCAAAAGCAGACCCAGGGGGGGAAGCAGAAACGGCAGGTTTCACTTTTGGGGTGATCCCACCCAGGCTGGGAGCTCAGCTGTCGTACTAGGGCTGTTCAGAAGCTTGAGGTGGCTGGCAGGTTTGCTGTCAGCTCATTCTGAGGAGTTTTGTTTTGTGTTTTTTACTGGCTAAAAACCA